GCGTAGATGCCGACTTGAGAAGTTACGGCGTCAGGAAGGTAAATGACCTTCCTGATATAGATAAGGAATAGAGTGGGGCCTAGGATGGAGCCTTGAGGAACTCCTGCGTTCGTGGGGTAGGAACTGGAGGAGAATCCGTTGTGAACGACCTTCAATTCACGGTTTGACAGGAATGATTGTATTACGTTATATAATTGACCCGTAATGCCATAACCCTGGATCTTGCGGAGAAGGCCGGCGTGCCAAACCCTATCAAATGTGGATTTAAATACACACACACACACACACACACACACACACACATATATATATATATATATATATATATATATATATATATATATATCATCGCGAGACCCGAAACACGTGTTGTAAGATTATGGAAAATAAAGTATGAAATATATTTTTAAAAAAATCCACATTACAACCTAAAACCTTTGCGTTTTTCCCTCTTCTTTTTAATATATACACTTTTCGCTCGTTAGAACAACGATAACCTCTTCCCCTCTCTCTCTCTCTCTCTCTCTCTCTCTCTATATATATATATATATATATATATATATATATATCATTCCAGGACCATTTTCCATCTTATGTAACGATGATCTTCGAACTTTCTAAAGTTTTAACTTTCTGTCCTGTAGTAACTGCTCTTTGGATTGTCATAGCTTTTCTAATTGATCCATTTATCTCTAAATTGAAATGACGATCCCAAACTCCACTTGTGTTGTATAGTCTGTCTGAGGATGACAATAGATATACGCCCCCGAAGAAACAAATTTTGTTCGACCACCTAAGTCAGAAAGCGCGAATTTGTAAAAAGTGGCTGCTACTGCTGATAATGCAACGCTCTTTTATGAATAGAGCACTCTGAGTCACTGGTGTGTTTATTCAAAATAAATACGTGTTGTACCCAAGTAAATGGTTAAGAAGTAACAAAACAAGAGGTTGCAGATAAATAATTTATTGAACAGAGGAGTATTACACGACTTGGGAGTGTATGTCGGTTAACCAGCGTTCAAGCTGTACTACTGTTTCACCGAGACTTACTTACCTACTATTTTTATCTTAAGTGGAAGAGTCCACAATAGACTCATTAGAAGGAGGACACCACAACAATACGTAAAAATTCGCCTACTATTCTGTTGAGAGCCGATAGCTTAGGGAAAAAAATTTCCGACTGATGCCAGATTAGTCGGGTTTCGATCCTGGCTTGAGGAATCCAGATGCCTAGCCACATTGATGAGCTGTGATACAGCGAAACACTCTGTGGATGAATATATTTACATGTATAAACATGTGTGGGTGTCTGAAATATATATATATATATATATATATATATATATATATATATATATATATATATCAAATTGTCGTTGTAGTTTCTTCTTAATTTTCTTCTATGTGTGTGTGTTCATTCCGGACGTTGGCGATCATGGCTCTTCACAATTTCCCATCCTTTAGAGCTTTTAATAACTTTTCTCTTTTTGCCATCTCATCTAAACTCTTGATTCGCTCAAACTCGCCAAGTAGGTTGTGTATTTTTTCCCTTTAGATCTCTTGCCTTCAATCGGTCCTGTGAGTATCAAATTTTCCAAGCCCCTTTTCTTCATTATATATACAAGACATTTCAACTATCTCTTCTTGATGTTAAGCATACGTCTCCTTTTTGTTGTCATTGTTTCTAGAACAATTCGTCTATGCTCACATAATCGGCCCATGGTATTCTCAGCATCCTTCTGTAGAAGCACGTTTTTGTTGCTTCAAGTTTCTTCTTCATCTGTCAGGAGCTTCCTCAGGATTAAACTAGATGACTGATGCCAGAACTACTTCGTAAAGTGTTGAAACTTGACTAATGCATGGAATAATAATGCAACACAAAAGGTACTTAGAACA